TTAAAAATAATTTAAATTTTCATATTATTTTTGACCGATATGAAACTAAGCTTTATTTGAGAAAGTATAGCATTGCAAAGTAAAAAATATTAAAATAGTGTTATACAAGGAAGGTGAATATTTAAAATCAATATGGCAAAATGATTGATTTAAAGTATGTTAAAACGATGCAAAAGAGAATATGAAGTTTATTCCTAATCATTGATAGACTTCATAAAAAAATATAAATTAAAGATTAATGCTAACTCTAGTATATTTTTATATGATAAAAACATCCACATAAGAATATAAAAGTACTGAAAAAAATTCATGAAACTCCCTTCTAAAGATTCCTAATTTCACTCAAAATAATTAAACTATTCTATAAAATATTCATAAAATATTGTTTTTATTTCTTCTATTTTATTTTTTCTTGAGTTAAGATCAATCCTTCTTCAGGTTTATCATTTATCATTTCTCGGACAATTCTAGAGTATTGTCTAGTTAAGATCAATCCTTCTTCAGGTTTATCATTTATCATTTCTCGGACAATTCTAGAGTATTGTCTTCATTATCTACATCAATTGTGATATCAGGCTAATTTTGTATTTTTTTATGCTATTATCTTTTCTATGCTCGTTAATTTTTTATCATCTCATTTAACTTTACAAAGAAGTTAAATGTACTTATGATGTTCAACACAAACTGCTCAAAATATAGACTTTGATTTTTTTTCTATTTCAATGAGAATAAATATTAATTTCATATATATAAAATTCTTTGTGTTCCTAATTTATTACTTAAATAAATTAGAAGCTATCTCTTTATTTTCCTCTAAAATGAATTCTTCTGATGTGCATCCAATAAGAATTTCTGTTATTTCAATAATATTACCTTTGCTCTATCCCTGTCATTTTCCATAAAGATCTAAACTAAATACCTGCATTATTCATTTTCAATTTCTCTTAGATTATAATATTAATATTTAATTTGAAGAACACAGTATGGAATTTATGAATACTTACTAATTTTTCTTATGTCTTCCAGGGAGATTTTTTCTTTGATTAGGATAAAGTTATTAAATTATTTTTTAATGTAACTCATTCAGTGCTTCATTAATAGATATGTCTTATGTTAATGCCAATTCAAGTGATTCATTGACGTTTTCTGAATTTTAGATTTATTTCCATCACTTTCCCATTTACAATGGAAATAACTCAATTCTTTATTCATTGACGTTTTCTGAATTTTAGATTTATTTCCATCACTTTCCCATTTGCAATGGAAATAACTCAATTCTTTTAAAGTTATCTCTAAATATTCTAATAGTTTCTCCATATGTAATTCCTTGTATTCTTTTACCCTATAAATATTATTAACGTCAAAGATTAAAGTTTCTAAATTAAAATCAATTAATGCTAAGGTATAATATTATAGTGTTTTATTATTTCTATGGATTTAAACATCTATCAATTAATGTTACGAATGTATTTTGGCTACCCCCAACTTATTACTAAATTATATGAAATTACTTTAATTTATATAGTGCCGATAATTTTTAATCTATAATATTTTTAAAAATTTTATCCATTAACCGGATGTTTTTAATCAATTCTTATTGTTTTTGTTTACCAGTATCAACTTAGACTATTCTTAGATGCTGAAAATGGATAGTAAATCCCTAAATTAGAAATTTTAATATATATATATATATGAAAAATACCAAACAATTACACTTTTCTTTGCCAAGTTTTAAAATTTTAGCCCATTTTTGTGGTTTTGAACTTTGAGGGTGTGATTTATAATTTTTAAAATTTTGAAAGAGTTTTTAAAAAAATTTACTTTTAAGTTTGGTAGTTGTAAATTCTATGTTTCATGTGTTGGTGGTAATTTTTTAAATGTTAGTATATTTCTTGTAACTCTAAAATTTTGAGGGTGTCTTTTGCAATTATTAAAACTATAGATTAATTTTGAAAAATATTAAATTTCAGCGGTCTACCAATCGACGAATTTGATGTGTGCTAGTTAAAAATTTTGAAAATTTAGAGTTTTTTTTACGATTTTTAAATTTTGAAGGAGTTTTTTAAAAATTTTGAGGTTAATTTTGGCAAATTTTAATTTTTTAGGTGTCTAAGGGTAATATCTTGAATTCATCTTATTTTATTTACAAATTTTAGAATTTTAGGGTGGCTTTTTTTAATTTGAACTTTTGAAGGTGTTTCTATAATTTTTGAGATATTGAGGGTGTTAATTAAAAAATTTAAATTTAAATGTCAAAAATTTTAGGTGTATCATGGTAATCTCTTGAATTCATCTGTGTTGTTTGTAAGTTTTAAAATTTTAGAATTTTAATGTGCTTGTTTGTAATTTAAACTTTTGAGGGTGTTTCTATAATTTTTGAGACATTGAGGTGTTAACTGTAAATTTTAAATTCTTTGCAAACTGATGTTAATTTTTTAATTTCATGTTTTTTATTTTAAGTTTTGAGACATTTGGATGAGTTTTATAATTTTGAACTTTTCAGGGTCTTTTCTGCAATTTTAAAACTTTTTTTTGAACTTTTGAAGGTGTTTCTATAATTTTTGAGATATTGAGGGTGTTAATTAAAAAATTTAAATTTAAATGTTAAAAATTTTAGGTGTATCATGGTAATCTCTTGAATTCATCTGTGTTGTTTGTAAGTTTTAAAATTTTAGAATTTTAATGTGCTTGTTTGTAATTTAAACTTTTGAGGGTGTTTCTATAATTTTTGAGACATTGAGGTGTTAACTGTAAATTTTAAATTCTTTGCAAACTGATGTTAATTTTTTAATTTCATGTTTTTTATTTTAAGTTTTGAGACATTTGGATGAGTTTTATAATTTTGAACTTTTCAGGGTCTTTTTTGTAATTTTAAACTTTTTATGTTTTTTTTACAATACTTCATGTATTATAATATGTTATCTACTTGTAATTTTTTTATCTTAACAAACTAATATCATTTTTATGTTTTATATATTTTATTAATATTAGTTTTTTTAAATTGTTAAGCTAAACATGGTTCACGTAGGATTAGGATAAGATATGACTATGATTAGGATAGATTAAGATATAAATAAAATATTCAAAATAGTGAAGGGTAATATTGACCATTAAAAATTAGGATTTGATTATAGATATGATAGTTCAAACTATAAAGGGGTATATTTGTCTAAAAAAGATTTTCCGAACTCGTGCTTTTAAAGGGAGTATGATATGATTTTTAGGTGGCCAAAATTCACGATTTTATGAGCTATAACTCATGATTTTTGCCAATTTTAATCGTTTTAACCCATTGGCAAATAATTTCATTGTGGATAAAATCCACGATCTCATGAGTTATAACTCATGATTTTTCATCAATTTTAGTCATTGCAACCTATTAGCAAATAAATTCACGGTGGCAAAAAATTCTGGATTTAGTGAGCTAAACTATTAATTTTTAGTCATTTTTAGTCGTTTCGACCCATTGGCAAATAATTTTGCTAAAGTCAAAAGTCATGATTTCACGAGTTATAACCTACGATTATTGGCTATTTTTAATCAATTTGACCTATAGGTAAATGTTTTAAAATATTTTGCGGAAGCCCTTCACGGTTTGTTGAGGTCTATTATTGAACATTTCACTGATGCCAACCTTCAAAATTTCATGAGCTATAACCCACTATTATTGTCCATTTGTAATCATTTCGACATATTGAAGAAGATTTTTGTGGAGGGCCCTTCACGATTTTCATTGAACCATAACTCATGATTTTTTGTCTTTTTTAGTTGTCTCAACTCATTTGTAAATAATTTTGCAATGGCCAAAATTCACTATTTCAAGAGCAGAGTAACCTATGACATTTGACTATTTTTAGTCATTTCGACTCATTTGTAAATTATTTCGCGAAGGTTAAATTTATACTTTCATGAGCTATAACTTATTGATTTTTTATCATTTAAGTCATCTTGACCCACTGATAAATGATTTCGTGGAGTCCATAGTTCTCAATTTCATGAGCTACAATCACGAGGTAATTTCGTGAAGTCAAAATTCTTGTGATTTTTAGCCAATTATGTTGTTATGTGCTATAACCAATAATTTTTTTTGTGAATTTTAATTATTTAAACCGTTGACAAATAATTTTGCGAATGCAATAATTCATGATTTTATGATTTCATAAATTATGCCACGATTTTTGGTCATTTTTGGCCTGCATGACATATTTGTAAATAATTTTGTGGAGTCCAAAATTTGTGAGCTATTACCCACGATTACTGGCCATATAGCCATTTTTCGACCTATTGGCATATAATTTCGCGGTGGCCAAAATTCACAATTTTGTGAGTTATAACTTGTGATTTTTTTGCCTTCTTTAATCGTGTCGATCTATTATGAAATAATTTTGTGGAGGCTAAAATTCACTATTTAATGAGTTGTAATTCATGATTTTTTTTTATTTTTAGACGTTTAGACCCATTTGCAAATAATTACGCAGATGCCCAAATTTGCGATTTCACGGGTTATAATCCATTACTTTTTATTTTTATTTTTAGTTATCTAGACCCGTTTATAAATAATTTCGCAAATGCCAACATTCACTATTTCATGATATAACCCACAATTTTGACCATTTTTAGTCATTTCGTCTAATTAAAAAAAATTAAGTTTACGATAGTCAAAATTCACGATTTAGTGAACATTATTTTTAGTTGTTCTGACCGTTTGATAAATAATATCACGAAAGCTCAAATTCACAATTTTATTAGCTATAACCCACAATTGTTTACCACTTTCAAGTCATTTGAACCCATTTGTAAATAATTTTTAGAGGCCAAAATTCAGTTTTGATGAGATCACATATAATTCAAAAAAATTATCATTTTTGGTCATTTGGACACATTGATAAATAATTTCACAAGGCCAAAATTTAAGAGTTAATTGACAAATAATTTCACATGCTAGAATTCACAATTTAATAAGCTACAACACTTATAACCATTAGAGATACTGAGATCGAGGAACTCCTTAAAATCGCTCAAGCTTTGTAAGATGCCATATGTTTAATCAGAATCACAGCCGCTACAATCACAATCTTTTCTCACGTAAACATAATATCCAGGCCTCAGAAAACTACTTAAAACATTAGAATCCCCAAAATGACTGACAGTAAACATCACCTGATTGTCAATAGCCTATTACCAAGAAATACAGACCACACCAAACATCCCACAAAACTGTAACCAGTAACAGATCCTCATTGTGACTTCAACGTTGTCTATTTGAAGCACTTGGCATCCAATAAATCCTCACCCTCAAATGGCTCCTGATCCTCGATCATGGCGTTGACTCGCTCCTTCTGTGCTTCATCAGACAGGTCAACCTTGGTCCACTCGTAAAGCTCCATATCATAGCACTCCTCGAGAACAAATGGGGGGATCTCCTTCCCACGGAAAAGCCACAGACCCTTCACCTTGTACGGGGGCTGAGAACCGATCACAAGCATCTTTCCAAAAGCATACTTCCGGGCAAGGTCCATCCTCTGCAAGAACCCGCCCACCTTGTTCAAGGTCACAAATGAAACTGTATTCTCATCGTTGTACTTGTACTCGCAGAACCACAAAGAGTAGCCCTCAGGATCATACATATCCCAGAATCCTGAAATGGCACAAGGCAGAAACTGAGTACAACGAAGGTCTATGCATCGTTATGAGCTTCATTTTTACTTTAGTTTATTTATATACAGAAAAAATACCCCTCACATCGTCGTCAGACAACTCCTAAAATTTCAAAAGTAGCAATTTGAAGCCACACATTCAAATCCTAGAAAATTAACTTTTGAGAGAGCGTAGAATATGAGGAGAAAAAAAATCTATGATCATAGAATCAACTTTAAAACGGAATACATTGAAAGTAATTTTAGTAAAACTGTAGAAAGAAAGAAGATTACAGTACATATTAATGGTTAAAAAAATAACTAAAAATATGCACTTTCGTTATTTAGTATCACTGGAACAATCACTCATCATGATAGTGACATTGAGGGTAATGTTCATCAAATCAAATTATGATGTTTAAAATAGAGTGCTTCGAAAGTACTATGCAAGTGTGATATGACTTTTATCACTTACAAATTTCATCCTCAATCACAGAATTGACTCGAGTACACTTCAGGTCATTCTGATCAAGCCTTAAATACATTGTTAGATGTTTTCAAAGTATGTGCTTTATTGATTCACACTGCTCATATTGGCTCCACCCTTCCATTCCATGTAGTACTTCTGGCGCTATCGATGTTGTATATTGTTTGCTACTAAAGTGATTCTATTTGTTTTCTTTGAAAAGTAAGTAAAGAAAGAGACCTAGAAATCATAAGCAATTCCACTTGGATTAAAATGTGAAAAGATTATCATATATAGAGCAAGACGAAGAGTCCAAACTGCTAAGGAAGAGATTTATTCCAGTGTTATGACATATAGAGCAAGACTAAGAGTCCATACTGCTAAGGAAAGGATTTACCCAGTGTCATGGCCTGCATCGTTTTCAAATATGGTATTTCCGAAGTAGTCTAAATATAGTTGTTTCAAACATGCACAATCTTTTCTCGAGAGTGAATTATAAACACTTCTCTTTATTTTGCTTCTTTTTCAGTGCTTGGAGGTTCAGGGATTCAAGCTTGGTATGCGGAATAGATTGAAGTAAACTGAGATATTTCCAAAGTGAGTTCATTTTCCCTATTCTTATTGATTGCTTTGATGGGTTAAAGTGTTGTTTCGGCTTATGATTTGCAGACAATAGCCTAAGAACAAGAAGGGCTTACTATAGTAAAGTTTCTGCAAATGTTCCATTATACTAAAACCCTTCAGTCAGTGTTCTAAAAGGTTCTGGGTCACTCTCACATTTCAGGTGCAAAAGTAGTTCCAGCTTAGGGTCGAGGCTGAGGGAAAGTATTTGTAGAAAATCATCGAGGAGTAGCAGAAGCTCGGCAGTGTACTTAAAGCCTCGGGATAAGCCCACTGAGTCTCCATCAAATTCCCACAGATGCTACTGTATTCCCCCTCAAGAAAGCAAGGATGGGTGAACTTTCTCTACTTGCTAAGCTTTTTTTATCTAGAAAAAGCATCGATGATCAGCCTTCGCAAATATTAACAAATAAATATAATTTTCTGAGTGTTATCTTTGTTTTATGAATATGATTCATTCCCCCTGTTATAACCTCATTGTTATACCTTTCTATTGTCATTGTAAAGTTTAATTGTTATGGCTGGGTGTTTGTCACTGGAAAGGTGAAGTTATTCTGTAAAAATTTAAATTGTTATGAGAAGAAGTTTTACAATACCGAGATTCTTATGTTTCAATTTAATACATATGTGCCTAAATTAATGTGATTTTTATATCTTTTAAGAGACAACAAATTATACTCAAATTATATACTTTCAAGTGAGTACAAGGAAACAAATTATATACTCATCAACAAATATTAATATATAACAACACAAGTAACAGCCCGTGCTTTGCATGGATCTAAATACTAGTTGAATGTAATTTTAGTAAAACTGTAGAAAGCCTACAAGTATATTCTGATGGTCCAAAAATACCTAAAAGTATGCACTTCCTTTATTTAGGATCAATCACTCACCACGATAGTGAAAATTAAGGGTAATGTTCATCTAATCAAATAAGGATAGTCAAAACAGCGTGCTTCAAAAGTCCTATGTGAGTAACATATGAGATAGAAGGCAAATTTTCATAGGGCAGTCCTAACACCAACAATGCCTTACCGATCAGAATGTTGGCAATTAAAACAGTATAAATCAGAATGTGGCAATTGCCTTGTGGATATAGACTAAAGATAGAAATAGAAATTAGTGCATTTATAGAAGATTAAGGGCTGCTCTTATTGAGAATAAAACAAGAGAGAATCGGTTGAGATGTTTTGACCACCTACATAGGAGGCCTCTTAGTGCACCAATTAGGAAAAGTGATAAGATTACAATTATTAGGGACAAAGAGGTCGACAGATAGACATAAGGGAACTTGGTTCAAAGCAATTAATAAGGATGTGATAATAGTTAAAGGCTTTGTTGTTGTTGTTGTTATGGAATTTGACAATTATATGTGATCCTAAATAAATATAAACATGATTACTACATTAAAAATTAATGATTAAATCCAAAGGTCGTGTTATTTTAGTAAACATTGAAAACTCAGGGGAGAGGTGTAAAGTATCAAACCCCACCACACCTTTAAAACCTCAAGGTGGTTTTCTGCTATTCTTACAAAGGTTTTTGTTTTGAAATTTACCATTATTCAATAAAGACTCTTATCAAATCTGAAAATATAATAAAGAGGAAAGTACCTTTAATGGCGACTTCACGGAAGTTGGTCTTAGTGTTAGAGTACAGCCTCTTCCACTCATCCAATATCATCTTGCTAGGAGGCATCACGGAAGTTGGTCTTAGTGTTAGAGTACAGCCTCTTCCACTCATCCAATATCATCTTGCTAGGAGGCAGGAGATCAAGTGGATTTTTGGGCTTCGGTTTTGGTGCCTCCTCATCCTCAGCAGCAGGCTCCTTTGCAGGCTCCTTCTTGACCTCTTTCTTGGCTTCCTTGGGCTTTGACTCCTTGGCATGTGCAGCCTGTGCAGGCTTCTTCGCTGATGGAACAGGAGGAACAGACTCTGCCTGCTTCACCTCGCCCATTACCTTGCGGAAGTTTGGCAGATTAACAAGAGTCCAGAAGTATCTTTCTACATGGGGAAATTGTGATGTGAAGCTCTTTATCATAATCTGAGAAAATCCATGATACAAGTTGCATGTCATGACGATATCGGCCAACGTCACTGAATGACCCACAAGGTAAGTATTTGAAGCTAGATGAGTGTTGAGAGCTTCCAATGCCCTCTTCGATCTATAAATTGCAACTTCCTCAGCCTGCAAATGACAGTTTTGTAAGTACATATCGCAAATGCAGAAAGGCATCTCACGAACTGGGACAAACCTCTTGAAAAAATGGCCCGTATCCAAGTCTTGGGTACAACCATCTCGCCACTCCTGGGTCAACTTCAGTTGCAGCAAAGTCCATCCATTGCTCAATTTTAGCCTAAATAACCAAAAAGACAAGCATTATGGCGTTCATTTCTTAGTGGAAAAAAAACACTAAATTTAATAAGTTGCAGCCAGTGAATGGTTTGGTATTTACATATTCGATCAAGGAAGATCCATAAAGAGGATTGTCTGCTTTCAAGCGAGTTACTGAAGAGTAAAATGGCAAACAGAAGTGAGTAATGAATCCAAATTGTATTAAATAAAAGGAGAATATGATAAAAGTTTACCATATCGTGCTATAGCATTGCTTTCAAATACTGAGCCGTCAGGTGTCTCAAGCACAGGAACCTGTACAAACACGCATAACTTTAGATCTAGACTAAGCATTAGAATAGCATACAAGACTATCCAAACTAATTAGGTTGTGCATCATCATGTACCTTCCCGAGGGGATTCATCTTGATGAATTCAGGAGTCTTATTTGAAACCCCCATCTGAAAATCTTTTACAAGTTCAACCTGGACTCCGCTGTATTCTGCGGCAATAAGTCCTTTCCACGCATTTTTGTTGGCACTTCCGGAATGCAACACCTAAGAAGAAAATGAACCCGTTCAATGAAAAACCTATTTAAAGGAATACCTAATTAATCATGGACATCTAGAAGTCAAAATCAGTAATCGCATAGAACAAATGATAGCGTGCACCATAATTTTTATTTAAAAAAAAGAACTAAAATCCAACTGGCAACCACCTAGGCAGAACTAACAGATATATTTCACACATGATATCAGCTATTTCTATGATCGTTGCTCCTTCTTCCAAGCTTTACATATTCTGCAACGAGAACAATAATGAAGCGCTACCAAACATTCCTCTCAGTCAACAAAAGAGATGGGACTGCGAAGTCATTGTACTCCTTTGGTTGATTTGGCAAGAAAGAAATAAACGAGTTCTCAATGAGAAGTGTATGTAGAAACGACGAAAACGGCGTCGAAGAACAGGAAAAATGTAGGCAGAAATTTGGATGCAGTCCGGTCGACCGCGGGCTTAGTCCGGTCGACCGGAAACGTGCACACTATAGGGTGTTCTTTTGGTTTTCTGTCCGGTCGACCGCGAGGTTAGATCGGTCGACCGCTAGTCTAAGTCCGGTAGACCGAAACCATGTAATCGATTAAGCTGAAATTTTAGCCTTCTGGTCGATCGACCGGACCACATGTGCAGTCGACCGGATCGCGGTTATGGGCCTGTTTTCAGTTTCCTGATTGGGTTGGGATTGTGTTTTGGTATATATTGAAACACAATTTTCTAGGGTTTCTAAGGAGAGATTAGAGAGTTTTCTGAGCATATTGAGGGGGAGAATTTATGAGCAAGTTGAGAGATCTTTTGGTTGGATTAGTTTGAGTGTTTGAGAGATTTGTAACCCTTTGTACTCTCGTTGATTTAGTGGAATATCTTCATTCTCTCCCCGTGGACGTAGGCAAATTGCTAAACCACGTATATCTCTGTGTTTGCGATTGGTTTGTCGTATTTTGGATTGGATTGCACTTGTGTTTGGCTTGGTTATCTTCTCTCGTGCCTCACGAACTCGTTCGGTGTGCGAGCACTTTTCCGCAAAGGCGCACAACAATTGGTATCAGAGCTCGGATTACAGATCTAGGGTTTTGGCATTAGGTGGAGGAAGATTCGTCGTGGAAGCTTGGTTCTTGGAGCTCTAGACTTCGGTGGAGATAGTGTTTGGGGTTGCCGTTGAAGATTTCGCTTTCCTTGTGTGGTTAGGAGATCTATTTGGAATCCGTTCTAGGGTTCAGTTAGGTCGTTGAAGATTTCGCTTTCCTTGTGTGGTTAGGAGATCTATTTGGAATCCGTTCTAGGGTTCAGTTAGGTAACTTCTAAATTCTATCAAGTTTGAATTTTTTTTCTCTACAATTTGGAGTTTGTGAGTATGGGAGAAGAAGTTAATGAAAGCAGCAAGATGGCGGGTACAATTCAAGTTGGTTTTCAGGTTACTAAAATTAATGTGGTTAAATATGACGGTAAGATCAATTTTGATTTGTGGATGAGCGACATACATGATGCGCTCAATGCTCAGAATTGTGAGGAGACCATCATGGTCCATAAGAGGCCACTAAATTAGTGTGGGATTGATCAGATCCTGTTTGGAACAGGAGCTGAAGTATGATGTGATTAGAGTGACGTCTACAATGAAGATGTGAAAGATTCTTAACAAGTATCCGACGAAGAGTATTGAGAACCGTTTGCATTTGCTAGTTGCTACGAAGATTTAGATTTCAGATGTCCAGTGACACCTCACTAGCAGTTCATGTGAACAATTATACTAAGTTGTTGTCGAACTTGGCCAATGTGAATGAGAAGATTATGGATGAGTACAATGCTATTATTCTTTTGGGCTCCTTATCGGATGAGGAGTATGATACATTCGTGCTTACTTTGTTAAATGAGAGATCTTCTATCACATATAGTGAAGTTATTAATGCTCTGACGAACTATGATTTGTGAAGGAATGACAAGAATACTTCCCGCGTTAGTATTTCAGGAGAGGCCTTATCGACGAGAGGTAGAAGCCCATATCCGAGATGTGGTAATAAGAACAGGTCAAAGTCTAGAGGCCATCACCAGTTAGCAAAGAACCAGTGTGCGATTTGTAAGGAACATGAACATTGGAAGAGAGATTGCCCGAAGCTCAAGAAGAATGAGAATAGCAAGAAGGGCTTGAATGCTAATGAGGTGAATGTTGCGAAAGACGATGATTCCGATTATTCGAGTTTTTCTCTATTGATTACTCCGAAGGTGAACCATGTGGATGCATCGGATTGGATGCTTGATTCTAACGCTACTTATCATGTCTCCAAGGTGAGATTGATTTGCATCATTTGAGAGACTCGATGGGGGTGTTGCTGTCATAAGAAATGATCAATCATGTGATATTTGTGGGATAGATACCGTGAGGATTTGGATGAACAATGGAGCAGTCCGTGAATTGAAATAAGTGAGATTTGTTCCTCAGCTAAAGAAGAATCTTATTTTTATTAGAGCTTTGGAGACAAAGGGATTCAAGGTGACCTTAGAGAACGTTGTAGCAAAGGTTACTAAGGAATCATTGGTGGTGATGAAGGGAGCTCGCAGTCAAAACTTGTATTATTTGAAGGGGAGCACCGAGGTTGGCCAGGTAGCTTCAGCTATTTCAAAAGCGGACATGTGTAAACTTTGGCACTACAAGTTAGGACACACAAGAGAAAAATCACTACAGGTTTTGTGCAAGCAGGAGCTATTAAAAAAAACCAAGAGTGAAAAGATTGAGTTCTGTGAGCACTGCGTTCTTGGCAAGACGAAGGTAAAGTTCAGGACTGTCATTTATAGGACGAGGGGCATCCTGGATTACATGCACACAAATGTTTGAGGTCCCATTAAGATGGCATCACTTGGTGATCGATATTGGTTCGTCACGTTTGTTGATGACTATTCTAGACGTTGTTGGGTGTACACCATGAAGCATAAGAATGAAGTCCTAGAGTTATTTGTGGAGTGAAAGAGAAGATTGGAACTGCAGACTGAAAGAAAGATCAAGACGTTACGATTCGACAACGACGACGAGTATACATCAGACCCTTTTCAGCAGTTATATCGAGACGAGGACACAGAGAGATACTTCACAGTTAGTCATACACCGCAGCAAAATGAGGTGACAGGGAGGCTGAATCGATCTTTACTGGAGAAGGTCTAATGCTTATTGCCACAGAATGGTTTGGAAAAGATCTTTTGGGTTGAGCCACTATCATATGCGAGCCACCTCATTAACAGGTTGTTTTCATCTGCGATTGAGGGGAAGATCCTTATAGAGATGTGATCGGGAGAGCCAGCACACGACTATGACCATCTCAAAGTATTTAGGTGCCCTATATTTTATCATGTGAAGATAGATAAATTGGAACCTCGAGCTAGAAAGATCATATTTGTAGGATTCAAACGTGGTATCAAGGGATACAAACTATGAGATCCAATTGATAGGAAGATTGTGCTTAGTAGAAACGTCATGCTCGATGAGACTACTATCTTAGAGCTTCTCGGCTCTCATAAGGTGGAGAGCAACCCGACAGAAGAGATATCACAGGTGATGAAGATCAATGCAGCTTCACATTATCCAGATGATACAGTATCCATTAGAATATCGACTAAGGTGACACCAGACGAGCACGACGATGAGGAGGATACAGATACAAATGTGCAGGATCAGGGACCGACGGCTCAGGTTCAGGATTCTATTGCGGTTCAGAGACAGAGGAGAGACATACGAATGCCAACACGGTATACCGACACAATAGTTACGTATGCACTACCGGTGGAAAGTATCGATGAGTTGGTGCCTACTACTTTCAAAGAGGCTGAGCAGAGTTCGGAAGCTGATTCGTGACAGGTAGCTATGCAGGAGATGAAGTCTCTTCATAAGAACGATACATGAAAGCTTATTAAGCTTCTAAAGGGACGGAAGACGATTAGTTGCAAGTGGGTATACACGAAGGAGGACATTGACGGCACTCCAGTGAGGTTCAAAGTTAGGTTGGTTGCGAAGGGCTATGCACAGGAGGAATGTATTGACTATAATGAGGTTTTCTCTCCAATGGTGAAACACTCTTCGATTCGGATTTTGCTAGCTTCGATGGCACGGTATGGTTTAGAGTTAGATCAGTTGAATGTAAATACGATATTTCTTCATGGTGATCTTGATAAAAAAATATATATGACTTGGCCATTGGGATTCCGAGCTATAGGGAAGGAAAAGTTGATTTGTAGATTGAAAAAATCGCTATACGGTTTGAAACAATCTCCTCGACAATAGTATAGGCGATTTAATGGTTTCATGATCGGTCATTCGTACACTCAGAGCCAGTTTGATCCTTGCATGTATTTTCGCAAGTTGAAAGGAGGTGTGTATATTTATTTATTATTTTATGTTGATGACATGTTAGTTGCTTCTATTTCCAGATCCACTATAGATGAGTTAAAGATTTAGCTTTCAAAGGAGTTTGAGATGAAGGATTTAGGTGAGGCAAAACGTATTTTGACGATGGAGATCGACAAAAATAAAGAGGACAGAATTTGTTTGACACGGGTAGCTTATTTGTAGAAGGTTCTATAACAATTTAATGTTAGCATGGATACGAAGCCAGTTAGTGTACATTTGGGAGCCTATTTGAAGCTTTCAGCTGATCTTTCACCAAAGAGTTGAAGATCGAGAGTTGATGTCGAAGAATCCATATGCGAGCGCAGTTGGAAGCTTAATATACACGATGGTATGTACAAGGCCGGATTTGTCACAGGCGGTGAGCATGGCTTTGAGATACATGCACGATCCAGGAGTAAATCATTGGGACGTCATGAGATGAATTTTGAGGTACATTCGAGGTACTCAATGTTGGTTTAGTTTTTGAGCGGGACACTAGAGGTGGGCAGTTGTGCATTGACTATGTTGATTCGGATTATGCTGGTGATTTGGATAAACGCAGGTCTACAACAGGATATGTGTTTACTTTGACCCGTACGTCGATGTGTTAAAGATGCACCTTACCGTCTACGGTGGCTTTGTCTACGACGGAGGTAGAGTATATGACGATTATGAAAGCTGTGAAGGAGGCTATTTGACTTCGGGGACTTTTAGAGGAACTTGGTATATCGCAATGGTCCGTCACTCTTTATTGTGATAGCATGTGTTATCTATTTGACGAAGAATCAGGTTTTTTATGCGAGGACAAAGCACATTAACGTTCATTATCATTTCGTTCGGGATGTTCTTGAAGATGACGATGTGGAAATTGTTAAGGTCCACATGAAGGATAATCCGACGGATATGCTCACAAAGATGATTCCGAACAACAAGTTTGATCATTATCGAAACTTATTACACATTCGTGATTGTTGAGGCCGTTGACGGCCATTTGGATGAACTACGGACGGCTTGATCCCTTGAGAGAGAGGGTACGTAGACAACCACATTGGTGCAGCTGAGTTTGGAGAGACGACGCAATGATGCTCTTTGTTTGGTGTCAGCTCAGTTTTGGGAAAACTTCGTCGAGGTGGAAAATTATAAAAACGACGAAAACGACGTCGAATAACAGGAAAAATGAAGTAGACAGAAATTTGGATGCAGTCCGGTTGACCGCGGGCTTAGTCCGGTCGACCGGAAACATGCACACTACAGAGCGATCGACCGCGAACCCTGTCCGGTCGACCGCTAGTCTAAGTCCGGTCGACCAAAACCCTGTAATCGATTTAGCTGAAATTTCAGCCTTCTGGTCGGTCGACCGGACCACATGTGCGGTTGACCGGATCGCGGTTATGAGTCTGTTTTTAGTTTCCTAATTGGTTTGGGATTGTGTTTTGGTATATATTGAAACACGATTTTCTAGGGTTTCTAAGGAGAGATTAGAGTGTTCTGAACATATTGAGAGGGAGAATTTGTGAGCAAGTTGAGAGAGCTTTTAGTTAGGTTAGTTTGAGTGTTTGAGAGATTTGTAACCCTTTGTACTCTCCTTAATTTAGTAGAATCTCATCATTCTCTCCCCGTGGACGTAGGCAAATTATCGAACCACGCATATCTCTGTGTCTGCAATTGGTTTTCGTATTTTAGATTAGATTGCACTCGTGTTTGGTTTGGTTATCTTCTCTCGTGCCTCACAAACTCATTCGGTGTGCGAGCACACTTCCGCAACAGTGTACAGTCACATCAATTATTATCCATAATTCAGTTCTACATGCTGAATTTTAGCTTCAGAAATCATTTAATTAAAAGCTTACCCAAGCTGTAAGCTCTTCTCTATCTGCCAACAAACGTGTCACCCTTTTACATTTTCTATCAATAAAACTGGGCTAAGATCCTTATCTTCCAAAAAAAAGGCGCTGCCAAGTACAAAATGAGCCCACCAATACTTACTGAGCGTTGAAGTGCGAATATATGAAATAATGCTTAACCCATTTAATAAATAAACCAGCACCTAAAATTTCAGTAAATCTTATAATTAGTAATTACCACAAACCAATTTACGATGATGCATATAAAATTAGTCAATATACAAATTTCGTGAACTTTTAATATATCATAAAATTAAGCTCATCGACCGAAGCCTATAAAACAGATCTCGCAGTTCAGACAAACAAATAAAAACCCAACTTTATTTTGATCTAAAATCAAACGAAATAACGTCATAAATAGCAAAAAAGAACGGAATCAGATCCAAAATTTGCAGATTTCATTAATAAATAAATAAAAACTCACCAAAGCCATTATTTTGATCGTAGTTTACTGCTCCGATCTCAGATCTGATCAACGAAAAGTAGAAAATTAGCAATGATTCAAGAGAGGTCGATAAAACTATTGAAAAAGCTTGATTCTTTTTTGGAGTGATTACTTACTATTTTTTGGGAGATTGAGGAATAGATGTTTCCTTTCCGCTAAAAAACCCTAGGAGCGAAAGTTTGCTTGGGGTTTATAGTGACCGAGAAATGGCGAAAATTACGTGGTTGCCACTGTTCTCTTGACGGGTCGGGTCAATTGGTTCCGATCCGAACGGTTTCGCTGGCTGCGGTTGAAATTAAGGGGGTGTTTAGTTGCATTGTTTTTGAGAAATGTTTTCTCAAAAGTACTGACGCATGACATTTATGTAATTAAGAGTTTTCTATACATTTCTATAAACTGTGTTTGGCTCCAAAAAAATTTACAGAAATGTTTTCTGTAAAGTGCCCAATAGTACCAAATTTTATGGAAATTGATTTCCTTCTAAAATGGGAGGAAATCTCTTGGAAATCTGACGCATTCATTATTTAAATAATAAAACTCATTAACTCTTTTCTACAAAGTTCTCACTTTTCTATAAAGTTGGTGGTGTTTGGTTACATTTCTATAAATTATAGGAAATATTGATATTTTCCCAAAAGTTATTTCTCATTTTCTTGTTTTGAACCAAACAAACACAATACAAAAAATAAAAAAATTTGTACTTTTTAACTTCTCAAAACTTTTCCTATAATTTTTTTAAGAAATACAAGGAAATCAAATTTGGGATGGAAAACATTTCCTATAATTTATAAAAATGTAACCAAACACCCCCTAAATGGATCTACCTAAACGAACTCGGGGTTTGGGTCGGAAACGACTCGAAGTGGGCCGGATCTTACATAACTTGGATCACAAGGACGTTGGATGTGTGACATTGTATAGTTTTTTCAATTAAAGATTCTTTGAAAGGATTAAGTAATATGCTTTTTGAGTTGCCATGGATTTGCATCCACTCTGACTCCTCCGTTTCTTTTTCCATATTGGATTCTAAATGTTTGTCTTAACCGTTTTATTGCTTGTAAACACTTACATTTGGGGTTTGAGGGATCCTCAAATTGAACTTTGAGGGTTAGTTGATGTCGAAGATTAACAGCATGATTTATGGTTGATTTTGAAGAGGTTGGGGTCTCTTGATCTCTCTTGATGGTTGATCCCCTGATAGGAAGAGAGTCTTACACATATGCAACACGTTAGACTTAGAGGGCAGGACTTGGGTTCTCCGGTGATTCTTCCGACAATCAAGTTAGTTATGATCTGAACGGAGAAAGGAACTGATATAGTTCTCTCAGAATGTACAGAAATTACATACCTTTGGTTAGTAAGTGACGTGTCTATTTATACTGAGCTGATGAGGGTATTTATGTAATCTTGGCCGAATTCATGGCAGTTGGCTAGTCAGTTAATATCTTTGTAAGTGTTGGCTATGGGTGGTATGAGTTAACTTTGTGATTAATGTGATGGTGATAGAGGGAGTAAGGTGCTGACAAGGTCCGATGAGTCATTAAGATTTTCGGCAGGGGTGTAATGATGAATCCGGCCATGCATTTAATGTGATGGTGATTGGCTGTTAGCGAGCGATTCGAGAACAAATGCCTTTCGTCTCAGCATACGATGGGAAGAGAAGTGATGCCTTTCGTCTAGGCCTATGAGGGGGACGAGTAGTGACGCCTTTCATCTAGACCTACAAGGGGAACGACAAATTACTAAAAAGTCCCTCGTGGATTCCTATTGATGGGGATGATTTCTTCTGCATGAAGGTACGAGTAATCTTGTCTATAAATTCAATATTTTGGACCATTTAATTAGTAACTGATTTTAGTATCAGATGGCCTATTGGTAAACCCAACTCTGATCCTCTAACGGTGATATTGTGTGTAGGAATCTTTGTTTGCAATCATAATCAGCCATCAAAGAAGATAAAGGGACCGGAAACTCTTCCAAAACCATTATCACTCTCCTAATTAACTGACTGACATCAACAAAAACAATGATAAAAGTGTTGTACAATATATTTTCTTTAGAAATTTCCATAGTACCGGTGACTAGGGTGCTTTATCCTCAAGTGTAAAAATCACATCAATTTTTGAGAATAAGGTCTGTTCTTTCTGCTTTGTGGCAATTAATTTGTACAGATTTCAGTTTTCTCATTGTTTTGTTAGGCTTACATCCTGGAATAACCTCGATCATCTTCATACAGCTCCATGAACCCATCATTGAATATCTTGAAGCTTGACATGATCACAGGCATGTCTTCCTCTGCTAGCAAGATTGTTGTTTCAAAATAGAAAACCCTGTTTAAATGGAGAAGTGATTAGTCGAATTGCTGACGTGAATTTTGCGTATCATGAGTTTAAAATAGAAAGTCATTAGCAATGGTATGTTTACAATTGAGTTCATGATTAACTTCAATGAAGCAACAGGGAAAGAAAGCGCTCTAAAAGGAATTCAGTATTCAAAACCATACATGTTTTCTGAGCACAAAGAAAGGTGAACTCTCGCATGCTCTACAACTTAAACATGATTGTTTCAGATCCTATTAACACTCAAAGCGATCAAACAAAAGAGCATCGGAGCTCAAGAATGTGGGGAATTAGGAGCATGTGAATGGTGTACGAAAAATTCCTCGTATACATTTGGGCAGGTCAGCCTATGCTCAGTGCTCGTACTAAAAAAATGCTAACGCGAAGAGCTAAATGATGGGTATAGCTACCGCGATGCCTGATGAAGGAGGTGCTACTACTGTGATGGCTATTGGAGAAAGGGGTCTGGATGGGGCTCAGGCCAGTAGGCCAATTATTCTGAATTAATCATTGTTGCTGGAGAATTTTGTTGCTGGTATGTCCGTCACATACATGGGGCTTTTGGGGGTATAAACTTTTTTTTTACAATTTTTTACAACCAAGGTAATGGTAGCAGGCTAAAGTTATATATCTTTAGAGTTTCATCCGTGTCTTCTCAAAAAATCTATATGACAAATAGAGAAAGGAAGCTTAGACATACAAAACATGCATCGCTACCTTGAATCCTAAGGACGATAGCTATGCCTGTCAAGCTGGCACATAAAGGGATTGACTACCAGGTTGAAGTGTATATAGTATATACCCTTCTTTCTGACCCAAAGCTGAGCCTGGAACAGTGGATATGCCTGTTGCCTCCAAGATCCTGAGGCAGTAGAACACATTGTTTCTATTGATTTTGGTGGCAATCGAATTTGAGGGAATGAATACATGGCTTCTGAGAAGCATTGTTCACAAATACTTACTACAGTTATTGATACCGGCACGGTATGTGTGAGATGGATGAATATATAATTTGGATAGGAAGCCAATCACTCTAAAGATACAGATTTCACCACATTAGAATAAATGACGGATAACAAAGGCCAACCGATCTAGAGATACAGATTTCACCACTCTAAATAGATACGACGATTCACCATTCCAAGGGTCTCACCTTAGAGATACAGATAAACAATCACATTTAATGGAATCTAACAAAGAAATGCAGAGTAAGGATAAGAGCACAAAGTTTAATTTTAATAATCAAAGCACAACATACCATTTCCATTAGCTGTCAAAACTATTTATAGGCTTGAGACAACCCTTGAAGCATAGGTGATACATGAACCTAGAAAAAGAAAAAGACTCGTTGACTTAATTAATTAACCTAGGAAACCTAAAAGACTTTAAACCAATCGACCCTCCAGTTGGCATTTCAAATATATATTTCTTCATAGAACTCCAAATAATATGAGACTAATCTTAAATAAGACTAGACACAAATACCAATCCAACACTTCAATCAGAGCATCATTTGGACTTCTCGTTATGGTCAGAGCAATTAAGACCATGCATACAATCCAGCGAATCTGAATTTGCAATTTGGGCTCCATCATTCTCCCTCGGTTGAAAAAGACTCGTCCCTGAATCATTGCTGCCATGATAGGGTGAGAGGTCAAAAACATTGAAGGTCAATGGTACACCATAGCTACTCGGCAGTTCAATCTTGTAGGCATTGTCACCAATCTTACTAAGCACCTTGAAGGGACCATCGGCTCTGGGCTTTAGTTTACCATGCCGACCTTGGGGAAAGCGTTCCTTATGAAGATGAACCCAAACTAGATCTCCTTTCTTAAATGTCATAGGTCGACGATGTTTGTTTGACAACATTCCTGTACTTCTCATTTTGTTTCATGATGCGAGCTCGGACTTGTTCATGCATCTTTTGGATATGCTTTGCTCTATCAGCCACATCTCCACTAAATTGATGAGTCACGAGAAGTGGAATTAAGTCTACTGGGCTAGCTGGATTTCGGCCATAGACTACTTCAAAAGGACTTGCACCAGTTGTTTGGCTAGATGAATAATTGTAAGCAAACTCCGCTCATGCAGATACAAGATCCCAACAACGAATACTATTGCCAACCAAACTCCTTAAGAGATTTCCCAAACTTTGACTGATGACTTCGGTCTGGTTGTCAGTTTGAGGATGATGAGATGAGTTGAACTAAAGTTGAGTGTCAAATTTCCTCCATAAAGTATGTCAAAAGTGACCGATAAACTTTGGGTCACTATCAGAAGTCATAGTTTTTGAAACTCCATTAAGTTTGATAATCTCCTGGAAATAAAGATCATCAACATGAGAATGTTGGTCTTGAGAGTGGAGACCTAAACCTAGAATCAAAATCAACAATCACATAAAAATAAGCAAGACATACTCCACCACACCCTGGTGTGGTGTCTGCCACACTCATGTGACAGGGTATGACAGAATCTGCCCTGTGTGTCATGAGTGCGGTGTCTGCCACACCTTGGTGTGGCAGAATCTGTCCTGTTTATCATGGGTGTGGTGCGTGCCACACACAGGTGTGTCAGACTCGTTTTAAAATTCTAATCTGTTTGGGATTGTGTTTTGATATAAATAGAAACACGTCCCTCTAGGGTTTAAGAGAGGAAAAGAACACGAAAAGAAGAGGGTTTTGAAGGCTCTTTGAGATCAGAAATCTTAGAGAGAGGCCAATTACAAGCATTGTAATCTTCTTCAATTAATCAAAAAATTGTGTAGTGTGACTTCCGAGGACGTAGGCACTGTCAGGTGCTGGAATTGGTACATGAGCTGAAGATAGCTGAAGATGATGACACAAGCAATGGAAGAAGAAGCTTTGA